TGGACTTGATGGGTGTTTCAGGGATATCTAAAGAGCGCTATTATGAGTAAGTGTTTTGGATCATTATGAGACATAAAAATCAACGGATTTTTTTCAGGCTTTTGATGAAATGTAGAAAGCTACAGTTACTTGACTTAAGCTTCTGTGATAATATTGATGGTGAAGAGGTCTGTTATTAATTTAAAATATACCTTAATAAAAACTTGAATATAGGAAGCCTCTCTTATTTTCAGATTGCTTATTGGGCCCGAACTTTTAAAGTTAACATCAAATGCAGTCATATACCTAATGTGCCTAATGATATGAGATACTAATCACATTTAACACTGTACAAACTTCAAACGAACCTAACATAACATAAATCTAAAAATATACATACATATGTAGATGGATATCGAAAACAAATAATTAATTGCATTTCAGAGGTTATAGAATACGGAACTGCAAAGCTAGGTGCGGCTCCGCACTGAATGTGTCCCACGCTGAAATTTATCACTCGAAAGCCAAGCAGAGGTACAGCAAAGGATTTTTGAATGTCCTACGACCCACTTAAAGCAAAAGCTCTCTTAGGAATGAGCAAAGAAGATACTTATGTACAAACTGGCGTGTTCGAGTACATGACTAAAGGCTTGGAGTACCCTTCAAAAGGTTATGTCGCAGTTGGGATGACCCTGGCTCAAAAAATACAGTCGAGCACATCCTATGCGGGTGTCCAAGAATCGCAAAGATAAAGCTGAAGACAATCGGCCAGCCATTCCTGCAGAATGTTTGAGAGTGCAGCTGCTTCTCTCCGTATGACATCCTGAAATTCATTAAATCTGGCAAATGGCTGTAGGTAGCACGAGTTGTGGAATCAAAATGGCAAACTTGCTAATTGCTTAACCAACTTAACACTTCAATCAACCAACTATTCATCTGAACCACTATTAACTGAAAATGGTTCTATTCTATTCTTTTGACGATTTTTAGTCTAGATACAGGTTTATTTTGAAATAAGGTCTTTCGATTGGTGTTATCAGTTCTTAGATATCTCTTTTAGTTTCCGAGATATTGACTGCAATTTTTTCTATAATTTAGTTAGTGATGCAGTCATATTAAACTTATCAATATCTTAAAAATGGCGTTCTCCATTTTTGGATATCTCTTTTGGTTTCGGAGATATTGAGTAAAAAGTGTCGTTAATTTAGTAGAAATTTTGATCACATTTTGCCGTATTTCATGCAAAGTGGCTGCCAAATTGTGGACAAATGACGTTTACGACAAAATTTTACTAAAGAACATCCTTCATAAACTCAAAACTAATTAACAATAAACATTAAAAATTAAATAATTTAAGAATCTTGTGAACTAGAAACATTTTCAGAGACTTTGGAGAAAATGTCTCTTAGCGTTTTTGAGAAATTGCATTCCAAACTACAATCGCGATTTCCCACAACCTGCCGAAATTAACATACGACAATCTTTTACCCAGGCGACGATTGATATCTTAGGCGAGCAATAAAATAAGGCTCGCTGATATATTTTCGGAGCAATAAGCGAGATTTGTTGGTTTTGACCTCCTTCATAACTCGCTTTGGAGTCAAATGGGAGACCTAATGAAGCAATAAAAAATGACCCGGCGGCATTTTTACTCGATTAAGAGCAAAAAGCGATAGGTTCAGTTGTGAGCCCGCATGGATCCGGATTTACAATTTTTTACCAGATTTTACTGGAAGTCGATCCCGTACTCGGTGCTCTGGCAACTGAGAGGAAAAATAAAAGAGTAAATAAGGTACTCTCTTTATCAAAAGTTTTACCAGATTTAAGTTGTGTACTCGTATTGCGCGGACAAAATTATCCAGCAGCATAAATTCTGAGAATTTAGCAGCATTCGCTCTCAAAGAGACAAAATATCAGTGTGCAAACCCCCTCTTATTTTAGTGTGGTAGAATCGGCAAAAAAATTTAGATTTGAATAAGAAGTGGTAGATTTTCCAATTTATATTTTTTATTGGGCATACATATCGCGCACCGTCGTCAAAAGAGGCACAACTCAAAAATTAGATCGGGAAATATAAGTGCTAGTGGGTCGTACAGATTCAACGCAATTGATGCAAAAACAAGTATAACACTAGTTTTCTAGTTAGAAAACATAATCATAAAGAAAAAACATTTTCTTATTAATTTGTGAAAAATCATACAGATTTATTTATGCAAAAAAATCCACCAAATTATTTTTCTATTGGATCATTTTTCTATAGCAAATATAAATATGAGGATTTTCGAAATACTAAAAAGTTAAGGCACAGCTATATTTAAAGCAAAATTTATGATGTACCTTTTAAAAATTTATTGATTAATTTTTATATTTCGACTCAGTATTGCCACTTGACAATATTTTTAGGTACCAAAACGACTACCACATCAGTTTCCAAACTACCAAAATTTTTTTCATTATTAAAACGAAAATTCTTGAATTTACGAGGTCTTCAGATACACGAATTAGCATAAAAATTAAAAATACACACAATATTGTTTATAGTATTGGTTAACCATTCATTGTATTGTATAAAAAACTTTTGTAAACAAGTAATTTTTAAGCAAAAAACAAAACCGATTTAATTCTCAATATAAAAATTGAAGACTATCGTGAATCTCTTCATGGTCCACAGATCGGATTTAAACCAAATTAGAATGGGACCACCTGTGAGATAACACCTTTCCTAACTCTCCAGTAACTTTATTTCTAAGAATTCGCTCTCATAGACAAAATTTACAAAAAAGTACGCGAACGCTATTCCAGCAATAATTTGCAAGCTTCATGAACAGCTGATAAATTGGTTGTTTATTCGCAGGAATTTCCTAAAAAACAATATATATTATATTTAAATAGGTATAGTTTGTGAATTTCAACAATAAAAACCCACAAACAGTTTCCTTAATAGTTTAAATTTCATCCAGCAACATGCGATCAGCTGTTTTTCGTACTGGCAAATTCTTACAAGTAAAAATTTATCCAGTAAAATCCAGTAAAAACTTGCAACTTCAACTGTCATTTTTCGCTATCTCAATTTCCCCTACTTTGCAAGTTTTTGCGTACGAAAACGCCAAAACATGAAAATTCGTAAAAACTTTTACTGGAAATGAGTAAAAAAACGCAATTATTAATTCAATTAATATCAAACGCTTTTTTTTTTTGTATGTGAAAGAACAAAATCAAACATTCTATGCATTTCAATAAAATAATTTCCAAATCTGTTTGTTTTAATTTGCAGATACTCACACTTTGCAGATTGCTTTGAAGTTTTTGTTTGCAGATAATTGTCTGCTTAATAAAATATAGAAAAATAAACAAAGAAATCTTATATGTGAGCAAAGTGAACAAATTTGAATGCTCAATTTGGTTGTATTTTCAAAACATTTTTTTCTACCAAAAGCTTCACCAAACCAACCAAACTACCAAAGGAGAATGAAGATACCAATATTGGTCCAATTGGACCAAAACGGCAACGCTGTTTCGATTAGAATTTAGTTGAAATTTTAGAGTTACGTGAAAATTGTAAAAAAATGTTCTGTTTAAAAATCTGGTCGATTTTAAAGGTAAAATTAGTCAAGAACGCAAACCTTCTATAGATGATTGCCACTTCGTCAGTTTTGCAGATGGTAAAAAAGTTATAAGGTTTCTATTCAAAATACGTTTAAAATATTTGAAATTTACTGTCGAATAAGGTTTTTTGCTGAAAAATAAGTAGTTTATATTTAGCTAGCATCTCTTATAGCACGAAAAATTTTAGTTGAAAAGGTAAGTTTATTAAAAAGGCATTGTTGAGTGGCAACACTGTAGTAAGTAACAAGTGTGTGGTAGATGTGGTAGACACCCAAATTTTAAAAAATAAGTGGTAGATCTACCAAAGAACGTAGTAAATATAAACATAAAAATGAAGATATTAAGTGGTTGCGTATATTTCGGAAATTTGCAACAAATACCACATTTCCAACCGACATTATTGTTAAATTAGTGCACAGATTTAGTGAATTAAATTTGTGTAATAAAGCGTGAACTATTGTCTACAAATGTGTGTAAAAGGTTTTTGAATCGATTCACGCGTTTGGGCACAACAACCCAAAATCGTTGTACAAATTCATAAAGAGTACCCGAATTTTAGGATAGTGCGTACGCGAACAGCGCTTATATACATATATGTACATCGAGTGGAAAATGTTCAATGAATCGAAGCAAAACATCGATACTTTCGATGCATCGATGTTTTTCCGACATTCCTAACTTTAATTTATCAAATCTAATCTTTAATGTATTTTAATCTTTGTTCATTAGCTTAATTTTTTTAATTATACCGGGATGTCAAGAAATTTATGCCGCGCGTGCTTACTAGAGAAAAAAATATCGGAGCTTTTTGATTGGTACATATTAATGGATAAAGCAAACGAACCGTTGACATATCAGGAATGCTTTCAAATTTGCACCCAAGTGGATGTAAAAAAAGCGGATGCTACATCATCTTATGTTAAGGATATGCATTTCCTTTGTCACGACTGCATTCAGGAATTGATAACTTCATATCGGTTTTTAAGAAAGGCTCAAAGGTCTGCCCAAGAGCTATATGCCTTAGCCCAGGGGCATTATAATTTAACTGACAATAAAATCAATGAGTTTGAATATGTAAATATTCAAGAGTTAGTTAAAAATGGGGATTTTATGGAAAATTCATCGGTGTGTAACTTCATTCACTGTGATTCAAACATAATCAACTATTGTCTTAATTTTCTTACTCAGTTAATAGATACTGGAGGCGACCTTAAATCAGGAAAGGAACTTCCGATATTATCTTATAAACACTGTTCTAAAAATCATGGTCAACCAAACAACGAAGACGGTCCTTTGGGGAATTCTTTGTTGCAATTAAAAGAACCAACTCATCAAATAACGCAAGGTTTAATAACATCGAGTCTTCAAGAATTTGCTCTTTCGAAAGCCGATCGGTCCTTCAACAGCCCTGAATGTGAAGAAATCACACTGGAAAAGGTTTTATTAGTTTGTCAATATCTTCACTTCTAATAAGAATTTTTTATTACTGGAAAGGTCGAAAATGGACACGATGCACCATTTGTCTCAATATCTGATTGCTTAAATGAAAAAGATACAACCATTATTGATAACTCCAAAAATAAAAGAGTAAGAAAGAAAAATCCAAAACTAAATACAAGAGTTAAAGAAGTAGCGCAACGGAATAAACCGTGTTTAAAATATAAGGAAATGCCTTGTGAGTATTGTAATAAATTATTTCCGGAGAACAAATTGAGACAGCATAAATCGCGTTATCATAGACCAAAGATCTTTCTTTGCGACATTTGCCGTAAGTAAATTGCAGTATTTGCACAGTTCGTAGACAAGTAATATTTTATTTTGGCAGCAAGTTCATTCAGTATCGCCAACAATCTGCGACGACACCAACGCACGCATGATTTAAATCGTCAACGAAACTTCTCTTGCAACGAGTGTGGGCGTAAATTTTTTACGGAAGACGTCTATCGGACTCACATCAAAACACACCAGTCATCCCGTCAATCTAAATTTAACTGCAATCAATGCGATAAAGTATTCCTGCACAAGGGCAGTCTCACCCTCCACATTCAGAAACACGGTGAACCCAAAAATGAATGTAGCGTTTGCATGAAACGATATGTTAGAAAAGTAGATTTGGAAGTGCATATGCGTAATCATTCCGGGGAATTGCCATATCAATGTCCTTTGTGCGAAAGGGCTTTTATGACTACCAGTGCTTTAAGAAAGCACGAATTACTTCATAATGGTATCCGGTATAAATGCGGCATCTGTAACAAAGAGTACTCACACCCCTCAAAACTTAGCCGGCATCGCTTACATCATACTGGTCTACCATTTAAGTGTGCAATATGTGACCGAGGATTTGCCGAGCCCAATAAGTAAGTTATGATTTTCCATTTTAATATATTTACTTAGTGTTGCAGCATTATCTTTCATCCTTAGGATACGAAGACATATCAGATGTGTACACAAAGTAGAAGACGATTCGCAAATCAATAAACTCACCATCAAGGTGTGAAAAAAAATTCGAACGTCCGATAAGAGAGCCAAACAGTTTATATTAAGATTAGTTGTACATATATGTATGTATATTTATTGGGTTAGGTTACCCTTGATGGTTGCTAAGTTTAGTTTAGTTTATTAGTATGCATTAAAAGGCAAACATTTTAATGATAGAGTTTGGCATTAAAAATTATTCCTTATTACGTTAAGAAATATTGTCAAGTTCATTTCGGCTCCGTGAATTATGTCCGCGCGTATTAAAACTGCGATCCAAAAATGAAACTAGGCCGCTCGAGCATAATTCATTTTGACTACCAAAATTAGGCCGCGATCAAAAACTGAATATAGGCCGCGCGGGCATTAGCAAAAAATACCAAAAACGAAAAAAAAAAATATTTTTTTTCATAAATAAACTTTTTTGAAAGAAATGCATAATTAATGCTAAGGAACTTTATATTGAACCGGTTCACTTTTTGGTTTCCATGGTTTTACTATGGGCGGATGACAAATTTTCGGGTGAATTTTTTTTTTTCAGGCGAAACTCAGGACAAGGCAGATTATTTAGAAAATACGAGTAATTACATTTAATTTGATATACATATATAAAACACCTTTCTGCGTAGGCGGCCTTTGGCCGCGCTTAGGCATTATAACCCTCCCTAAGTATGATTCTCCTTTCTGTGCTGCCGAAGAAGAGGGGCTGAACACCTTTTGCAGAGAACACCTTTCTGCGGAGGCGGCCTTCGGCCGCGCTTAGGGATTATCACCCTCGCTAAGTAGAATTCTCCTTTCTGTGTAGCCGACGACGAGGGGCGCGGAACACCTTTTGCAGATAACACCTTTCTTTAAAATGAAATTAGGCCGCGTGGGCATAATTCATTTTGACAAGTGAAATTAGGCCGCGCGGAAATAATTCATTTGGCAAGTGAAGTTAGGCCGCGATCAAAAAATGCAATTTGGCCTCCAAACAAATAAGAAGGCGGCCTTAATTAAAAATCTCATCGACCATTCATTTTCACATGAAATTTTTTAAATGGCACCATTTTTTCTCATATTAATTAATGCCTAGAGGAAATTCGGCTTAACACTTTATATACATACACAAAAAGCTGCCCTAGAATTGCTCGATGATGCATTAAGATTTTGTGTTCCATCTATTTGTCGTTTGGCTCATTAATACATCCTTTCGGCACGCTATAGAACATCGTTTCTATTGCGAAAAACTGGCCCTTATTGGTTTTACCGCTTTCTTTTAGTGAGGCTTTTCCGTCTTGCTCATTATTTTTTATTGAAAGCATCTTCAAACATGTACGTACATCTGTACATAGATATTATACGTCGGCATCGTTAAGGATATATGTATTTTTAAATAATTACAAAATTGATATAAACAGCTTTTACCATATTATATGAGTTAAAATTTTATTTATTTTCAACTTCTGGTTTCTCCAAAACTTCGACTATTCGACCTCTATATTCTTTTGTTATGTTTATTCTTACAACGAGTTTCTGCACCTCCTTGTCTTCTTCAATTTTGTGCACACCTCTTATATGACGCTTAATCCTGAAAAATTATATACATACACATATACATATATGTACATGTAGGGCATAATCATACTTTATTACTAACTTGTAAGCATCTGGAAACTGCTTTTCACAAATGCCACATTTATAAGGTAATCCAGTGTGTTGCATGCGATGATTATAGTATTGATCATATTTGGAGAATTTAGCACCACAAATCACGCACTTGTAACTGAAATATCCATGGTACTGCATGTGCCTATTTAAAATACGTTTGTGGATGAAAGATTTTCCACACAGGTGACACACAAATGGCGATTCTCCAGAATGAGTGCGTAAATGAACATCTAGGTCTATTTGCCGCACATAACGTTTTTGACAAACTTGGCATTCTATCGTAGCTCCCTTGTGATGGAGCTCGTGGATTGTTAGACCATTTTTATGAAGAAAAGATTTTTCACACTGAGCACATTGATAAATTGGTTTGCGGTTGGTTTCGTGCGTTAGCCTGTGTTTTTTGTATGTATACGTAGTTAAAAAGCTTTGGTTACAGATGTCGCACGGAAATCTTTCCCGATTCTCATTGTGACAGAGCTCATGATTTTTTAGGGCACATGACTCCTTAAATGTTTTTGCTGGCGAAGAAAAATTCAACAAAGATAGAAATTAGTCCACAAGTTAAAAGGAACGGAAATACTTACGGCAGGCCTGACAAAGAAAAGTTTTTGGTTTATGACGTTGCTTATGTTTTTTTAATGAGCTTCTCTTCATGATTTTCCCACATTCTTCACACTTCACCGGCTCAGACATGTCCTTGACTTTCTTTTTTGTTTTCACCTCGGATTTTACTTTGTTTGTTTTCTTTACGTTTTTAGGTCTTGTATGAGCAAGATTGAGTTGTTTACTTTTTTTCGATAAGACCAGCCCAGCTTCATTTAAGTTATTGCCGCTCTGCATATCCTTATCCGATTCAACTAGAAACTTTGTTGTTTTTGTAGTGTCAGTACTAAGTTTTTTATCAATATTTATTTCGTGTTCGATATCATTTGATGCAGATGTTTCATCATCATCCATAAAATGTTCATTCCATTCTGGTGATACTTTTATATCCTCTACGTGATCCTTGTAAACAAATAGAAAATAATTATTGTTTAATTATATCTAAATCGTATTTGATATACCATATCTACAGTATCTGGCATCTTAGTTACTTCCATTAGCTCTTCATGTACTGGAACCCATTCAAAAGTGTTGGCTATACTTTCTATCTTCACTTTTTCCGTTTGTGTGCAACGTAATTCATTATCAGCCCTTCTCGCCTTTTCAATAAAATCATAAACGTCTTTAAGTTTTTGGGCACAATCAAGGCATAGATATTGCATCCGGGCATCATCGAGTTCATTTGGATCATCTTTCAAACTTAAATTAATTTGTGTACATTTACAAAAAACACTCTTTGTATGATATATCCAAAGAGTCAACAGGCTGATACCAATCTAGCAGATGCACCCGATCTTCCGGCGACAAACAGGCACGGCATATATTTGATAAATCCATCTGAACTTTTCACCACTGCCGTATTGATAATTCAAGTCTTAGTAGGTAAAAAATAATTTTGTAGGATGTGTGATTATATATTGGTAAGACAGAACAATTTGAAAATAGGGATGTCGAAAGTATTTCGATATAAAAAATGGTACAATTTTAATGCTTTGAAAAGTCGACTGTCCGACAAATCGATTTCTTCGGTAGATATAGTGATGTTCCGATATCAGTACTTTTAAGGCCTGTATGCAGCTCTCAAGAAAAGGAAAACTACATATAAAATGACGTACAAGAAATGGCTAAGAAATATTCTTGAGTCAAATTTACTTAAGGCATTACGCAGTTCCTAAGAAATTTACTACGCTTTCTACTACGGTTTTCTAAAGTTTTTTGTGAAAAAAGAGCACAAGGCAACCCAGGCTTGCAACAGAAATATATGCCCGTTCCATTATTTCTTGAGGAAAGAGTGAGGCAACAGGCTGTGAGGTATCAAAAATGTCAAAATTCCTTGGACACACACGCGAAATAATGGAAATTTTTTCTTGACCGCTTTCTTGAGAGCTGCATACAGGGCTTAAGGCAGTACGCAGTTCTTAAGAAATTGACTACGCTTTCTACTACGGTTTTCTAAAGTTTTTTGTGAAAAAAGAGCACAAGGCAACTCAGGTTTGCAACAGAAATATATGCCGTTCCATTATTTCTTGAAGAAAGAGTGAGGCAACAGGCTGTGAGGTATCAAAAATGTCCAAATTCCTTGGACACACACGCGAAATAAGGGCAATTTTTTCTTGACCGTTTTCTTGAGAGCTGCATACAGGGCTTTAAGTTGAAATTAGTGAAGACCGTAAACCTACCGGTACGTGTTCCCCGTCAGCTGACACGATTTGTCTTACTAGAGCGCCATGTAAATGAAAACTCAACACCGCAGAATTTTTCTGTAGTTGTAGCCCGTAGCGCAAAAATCTACGGAAGTTAGATTTTTCAGTGACCGCTGATTTCTTCCTTCTATAGATGGTTGCCACTTCGTCAGTTTCGAAAATGGTAAAAAATATTTGAAATTTACTATTGAATAAAGTTTTATGTTGAAAACTAAGTAGTTTATATTTAGCTACGATCTATTATAGCACGAAAAATAGTAGTTGAAAAGGTAAGTTTATGAAAAGGCATTTATGAGTGGCAACACTGTAGTAAACAACACTGAAGGCTCCAGTAATCGACAAAATTCTGCGTTTAAGTATACGTTCTGCGTTCTTGACTAATTTCGGCTTTAGAAGTTTATACTCGAGCCATGATCCAACTCACTCTAATTGGTTCAAGTACTCGAGTACCTTTACTAAGTACCGAGTATTTTTTGTACTTCGATACGCGTGGACAAGTACCTCATGGGTATCGAGTACAAAGTGCAAGTAGTTACTTGTTTGCTGGGAAAATCAACTGAAAATAGATCTGTGTTGTAGTTTTTGAAAAAAAATGAACCACTCGATTTCGCTAGGGTTAAAAATAAAAAAAAGTCGACGACACCAGTACACTAAGGGTATTTTAAATTACTACACACTTATTAAGAGCTATGCTAATACGATGAATTAAGTAAATTTATATTGCGTGTTGTTATGTTTTAATGCATAAAAAATTCCTTTAAAAAATATTAAAATTTAAAAAACAATAATATGTTGAGGTGACAGTAATACTCTAGCAATTTACGAAAAGTATAAACGTCATAAGCACAGTTTATGTCAAAAAATTTCAAAGTGAAACTACTTTTTTTTTCGTTTCATGTACAGTAATAAACCTTTTCGCAGTTTTTCAACAACTGATCCCCGAGGAGTACTTTTGGGTTGTGTGCAGCGTTTACATTTTGCGCACACGGTTACACTTACTGTGGGGAATTCCGCCTCATTATTAGAAACATTTCTTTTCGAGAATAAAATATATGTAATTATGTGATATTTATGAACAAAATGCATAGTATCAATACTTAATTAAGAATACTATCAATAGTTAAGTACATAATTAGCGCTTGTGTTTCTATAAACTGGAAAACTGAAATCGTAATTATATGGTTATCGAGAATCCGCCCAGACTGTGGTCATAATTCTTGCGTTATCGTCCATACAAAACTTGTCGAACGAATACCAGCTTTCGCTGAAAACTACTTGAAAACTCACTTTCCACTCATTCCAATTGGTGTCTTCACTAGTATTTTTTATATATTTATCGATGTGGAAGTCATATTTTATCATGGTTTTCGACCTAATACCATGTTCTGAACGACATCGAAAATATGTTTTCGTCGGTAAAACTGGTTTTCGACCTAATACTTGCGTTTTCGTCCATGTAAAATCCGTCAAACGAAAACCAGCTTTCGCTGAAAACTACTTGAAAACTCCCGAACCACTCAATCCAATCGGTGTTTGTTCTAGTTTTTTTTCGATTATTTATCGAAGTGGAAGCCATATTTTCTCATTCTAAATATGTAATTCTGATTTATTGTAAATTGGCTGGCCAAATATATGATATAATAATATAAATATATATGAATATATGAACAAAAGAAAAAGGTTGCTAAAGATAAGAAATTGAAATACAGAGATTTTGATTTTGTTTTTTCGTAGCAAAACTGTAATATTGCATTTACATTGGACCCAAATGCGTTTTTTGAAATCAGTCATGAAGGCGTTTACTCGGCTTGATTCATGTTTCGTTTGACTTCTCATCAATTGAAAACGGAAAAGAAAAACAAAATGAATCTAAACAAACACTGCACGCTTCATATTTTTTAACACGTTATGGATACATAAGAGCGCAATTATTATTTGCATTAACTTAAATTGTGCGAATTTATGCGTAAATTAACAATTTTTATACACAAATATCAGAGATTTATTTATAACTTTGAGTTTGTTTTGATTTGAAAAATTCAAAATGTCAAAAACAAAAGCTTTTGGAGAGCTTTTGTTTTTGAGTGTGTTCAATAAAATAGTTCGGCAATTGGAACGCATTTTGAAATCTGCGTTGAATTGCTTAATTTTGGAAATGCGAATTTGTATGGAGAAATGCCTGATTTGCTTTCGCGTTTCAGATTTCTCGCCCAAATGACGCACGATTTCGAACTCCCGTAAATGTACATTTGCTAAATGCGATCATGAACCAAAAATACAAGCTCACAGGCACCACTACTTTACACTTATCTATAACTAAAATAGAGTTAATTCAACATGACAAAATCGACTTTTTTCATTCTCTTGTTCTTGCGTGATTTTGTGTCGCTCGTTCCTAAAATGCGATAGTATGAACGCTCTTCGAAAACGAAAACGAAAGTGCTAATTGTTGCGTTTTAATTGTAGCAGAAACGCCTACATCAGATGCGAGTACAAAAAGTACTCAGTGCTTGAAGAATGTATCGAGTATTTACTCGTAGTTACTTGTATCGGAGCATCACTAGTCGTGGCTGTCGTACTCGCGTAGTCATCGTCATTGGTGATTTTCGTAGAAATGCGTTGCAATGTTCAGAAATTGTTTTTAAATTAAAACTTCTGAAATAATTCGCTAATTTGTTTGAGTCAAAATTGTGTAGAAAAGTTGGCGGATGATCAGTAAACAAAAAAGAATAAAATACAAATGTGTTGAAAATACCTAAATTTGGATAAAATGTGCGAATAAACTATAAGAAAACTTCAGACAGGAAAACAAGGTTAAAAAAGGTGGGGAAGAAGTTCAAGTGGAAAATAGAAATCAAAAGAAGAATAAGTCTAAACAAAAGAAGGAAATTGGTATATTGAAGAAACGCAGTGATAATTTCCATTTCGATTCGTAATTTCAGCAGCCGGGGAAAGTTGTGCGTGAGCTTTAATTAAGGTTCTACAAGTGAAATATACATATAAGAAACTTCGAAGTGTCGACTGCTTCATGGTGGGATTGAAACCATTGTGAAAAATATGCAGAGCTGGCACAGCCCTAAAACCGCCATAATAATTTAAAGGGAAGCAGAAACAATAGAAATAAAAAAAAAAATTGATTCCGTCAGTCACTGGCCATAAAACCAGAAATATAAAAACGCTTTCATAACTAATCCCAAAGTGTCGATTATTGTTTAGTATGGATGAAGACGACAATGCATCCAGTGGTGGTGACACAAACCGTGAATCAATTTCTAATGCTAGAGTTGAAGCAGGTGGCTTGCGAAGCATTGATATTTCTAATGCGGAAACAACCACAACGGAAGAAGATGAGTCCGACGATGTGGATATTTCAATGGTAATGAACTTACCATCTGGTGTGTCTATTAGCACTTCAGTTAGTTCAGATGGGCGATCGCAGCCTACTTACATCGCCACTGCGACTGCATCGGCACCCGGACGGGTTTCACTCGACTTCCCTGATTGGGAATCTGTGGGTGCGACAGAAGCGGATGACGACTTGCTCACCGATGCTTCCTCGAACTCGGCTACTACTGCAGGGAATCCGCCTGGTAGCGCTGGAGGAGCTAAGCCTAGCTTTTTCTTTGGTACATCATCATCATTTAGTTTACGAAGTCGCAAAGAAGTTGCCGCTCTTATTAACGCAGAGTGCTGTCGTGGTGGAATAACACCTGAGTTGGACGCCGTTATGGACAAACTTTTCAATCCAGGAACACCTATAGACAATGCAGATAATATAGAGTGGATTCGATGGTTAATTGCTGGTGGCCGCACCCCTCAAGAATTCGTTAAAATTGGTAAGTTTTCAATATCATACAAAAGGTTCAGACTTTTTAGGCATTATAAGTACAATTCTTAACTGAAAAAAAATTATAGGGAAGATCGAAATTATTTTTGGACCGGATTAAAAAAATTAGTAATAGCAAATACATACATATGTATGTATCAGATCTGTAAAATGATTTAATCAGTAGGATTTGCATTCACTCGGCATTCTTTTCAAAATTTTGATTTTATAGAAAAAACCCCATACCTCAGTGGTTTAAATTATTTTGAAACAAAAACAAACGTAATGTGTTATTGAACGGCAGAGTTCAATTCAGCATAGAGTGTGAATGTAACAGAAGCATTCAACATCACCGTGATTGTAAATTTTGGCAAACACTTGATCATTCAGTACTACACTGAAAAAGTACGCCTTGACACTAGAAAAAAATCTTTATAGTAGAAAATAGTCGTTTTGCTTCTGCTTTTCTACTACTGCTACAATTTGGTAAAGCATTACCTATGAGCAAAAGTACGTAACAGCTTTAGATTATCAGTCAATGCCTTTTAAGGTCAGCTGCATATGTTTAAAGGAAACTTGCGGTAATTTTTTTGTAACGAAGCAATTTTTTATTTGTACAAAACGATGTTTTTATTTCCCAATGTTAGGCGCTCATACATATGAAGTAGCAAGCTTGCCCCCAGAAAACATTTGAAGTCATAAATGAGTCTTTAAAGAGTCCTCTTTCGGAGCCATTACGCTTATAATGAGCTCAAAAGTCCGATATGAGGGCTTATGAGCTTAAATTCATACATGAATACAAATGAGCCTCAATATGAGTAATTTTGGCCTCATATACGGCTCATTTTGGACTCCTTTGAAACAATTTTTGGCCTTATATATGAGTCTGAAATGCTCTTTTTGAGGCTCTTTATCGGCCTCATAAATTACTATATTCGAACGCTTTGAGTCTTATTTAACGCACGATATTGGCAAAGGAATTCAGCGAAAATTCCTTTCAAATAACATAGATACATACTTACGTGCGTATACACATTCCAACATGCATTCAATAGCAGCAGCTGCATTTAAATTTTGTTCATTTTTTGTTTTCTTCAATTTCTGTATAAACAAGTTTAGGATATCATTTTCAAATCTTTATTGTTTTTATATTGGCACAAGGTGCTGGCTCATAACTTGGATCATATATGAATCCTAAACGATTCATATAAGAATAAACCATTTTTTGTTTTTGAAACTCATATATTTTTTTTTGCTTCTGTTTGTCGATATTTAAATCAGCAATTTGTTGTACTATAAAAGATTAGATCTTATTGTACTAATGTTTATACATTTAATAAAATGAAATGAATGAAATAAAATGAATATTTCTTCCCTATCTAGGACTCTTTCGGACTCATATTCTGAACGCACAGAATATGTTTGCGGGGTTATTATATAAATTTGTTTGTAGATCTTTTTATTTTTATAATTTTTTCTTTGTAGAAGCCTTTGAATAGAAAACTTGTTCACACCAGACAATTTTTGTTGCCGGAAATAAGAAAACTTGTCGCCCTCAGCAACAAATTTATTGCCGATAATATTGCCTTCGTATCGATTTCTTATTACCAGTCGCTCTAATAGGGAATTTACATGAGGCGATTTTTAGTTGAAAGCAACAATCGCCTGGTGCAAACGGCCTTTCATTTAATCGCTTTCAATGAAGTTGGTCGGCTGCCTACTTTCGTTCAACTTTTGGTTCAACTAATCGCCTGTGAAAGTTGAATCATGTAAATTCCCTATAAGGCGTCCGCCGCAGGCAACTGAATGAGTCGTTTTATTATTGCTACAGGCGATATTTGAAGAATAATTTCTTGCAACAATTTTATTAGTTATTGAAATCGGTTAACGTAGTTACATTTTAAATTTTAATTGACAAGCTTATAGCCAGTTTCACGAAAGTAATTTAAGTGAAATATCATTATATAAAATCAACCGCCGGTTTGTTAATTTTTCGCAAGTCTATTTTAGTACTTTTCAACTGAAACTACTAAATTTTTTATTACGAACTTTCGTATGCAACGCTTTTACATGTAACATAAAAAAAACTGAAAAATTTAAAAAGGAAAACCAAGTAAAAATATAGTATCCGAGGGACCCGTACATTACCCGTATTATACGCAAAAAGTCCCGCCCATTTTTTTTAATACGGAAATTTATTTATGACTTTTAAGAAAAAAACTACCTTGGATACTTTTGCTTAAGCTGAATTAAACATTGATGTAAAACTTTAAACCCAGTTTTCGCGAAATTGTGGTTTAGTTTAAAAAAAACCTTTTTTTGCCGAACACAAATACTCTTTGCTTCTATAATCACACTACAGTCTTATTAAATATCTAGTTTGCATATTTTTAGCATTAGCCAACCGAATTCATTTTAATCGTTCAGGCAGTTAAGGTCCGAGGATAATTTCGAAAATACTCTCATGTGTGTAAGGTGGAGGCCTCTGGAAACAAATTTATCTGCCATTCGCATTATATAACCTTATGCACCAATAAGTTTATGTGGACACTTTGCAAACCGTTATGATGCAAATTAAGACTTTGCAACAGTGTGGGTGCATTCGAAAACGTCAAAATACAACGCATCAGTCACTTTTATTGCTAGTCCTAAGTAGAT